GGAGAGAATCTCGAGCGAAAGTTGGAATGCTAAGAGACCGCTATTAACAATTAAGAGTTTGTCAACTGATGGAGAGAAATTGCTGAGAAACCTTTTAAGTCTCACGTCACAATCGTGTGATGAATATTTCTCCCAACTTCTGTAGCAGAAACCCAGAAAGAAGAAGTTACCCCCATCATATACTCTTAGAGTAAAATTAATACACTCTGATAGTCAGATGACAAAACTCAAACCCATCATTTGTAACTCTTTTGTTAAAATTCCTCAAAAATGTATACTTAACCAAAACGCCTGGTCATTGGGAAATCGATCAAGAGCCACTTACAAGTCCAATTCCCTTTACATTAGGATCTCCATGCTAAACAATACCGGCGGAAATAGACAAGCGGAACCCCTACCCTTGTTAAGGTGAATTAAACGTGATTTTATCCTCCTGTAGCAACTACAAAGAGTAATTATTTTTATTTATTAATGCTATCATCCAAACCCGACTATTTACTCAGCTATTGTTAAATGAAATACAATTATGCCAACAGAAAAGCATAGCTGATAATGTTCTTAAGCACTGACCAAGTCATGTGGAATACAGATAAGTCATAAAACAAATTTTATATGATTACTTTTTTCAATGACTGTAAATTAAAAAAAAAATATTATTACGTGATATGAGCAAAGGAAGCTAAAATGACAGGGATTTGGTATTTGTAGATTCAGTTTTACATATATAACAAATTTCTCAACGTGTTATAGGAATTGGTGTAAGTATGTAACCGCTCAGTTCAATACAGTCGTCTCTCTCTCTTTTTTTTAAAGAAATAAATTCAGTAGATATAAATTTTCAGTTATAATTTCGTCTCCAAATAAGTGAATGATGAAAACAAACAAATAAATAGCCACGCATTCATTTTACATAGGAGAGTTGAGCCATTCATTTATATATATAAACCATCAAGCTATAGAGAAAACATATCTGGAGCATTTATTCCTCCGAAATTCCAGATTTTATAAATAACCTTACATCAACAGATTCCAAATAGATTTTTAAAATGTTCAACTAGAATCAAACAACTTTCAAATGCTTCAAACAGCTTAACTTCTTTTAACTGCTGAAAAAAAATCCCCAGCTGTGTTTAGATGTATAAATATCACAGTGTTTGCAAAAATTTCTTATCATAAATCTTGATCAAGAGTTCCTCGAGAATAAGAGATCCCCAAATCATTTAATCTATTAATTTCATGTTACCATGGTTACTAGTAATCATTGAACGGATAGTGTCCCCAAGAAAGATATCTGCTACAAACACCTCCCTTAAGTGGCATTGGATTTCTATTGTCTGATATGGACGAACAAGCCAGAGTGTATGAGAACTGGACAATGGGGAGATTGCAAGAGATGAAAGGAATTTGCTTCTCAAATTGTCAATGTGGCAGTGCATATGCAATTTATACAAAAATAGTAAGAAAAATAAACCAGACAAACCAATCGAATGTTACCGTTTGACTGAGTCTTGTTTTAATTACGAAGGGGATTTGAATTTATTAGGTAATCTTTCCAGGAAAAAAAACCGAACATCTTTAACAATTAACACTAAGAATACTTGATTAATACTGTAAAGATATCTAAAAATATTGATAAGCTTTTAGAAACATTTGATTGCTTATTAGTCCCCTACCGGTGAAACCGGAGGGGACTATAGGTTTCCTCTGAGTCTGTCCGTCCGTTTGTCCGTCTGTCTGTCCCTCTGTCTGTCTATCTGTCTGTCTGTCCCTCTGTCTGTCTGTCCCACTTGGTTTTCCGCACTTTTTTCCTAAACGCTTGCAGATATTGAGCTGATTTTTGGTATGTGAGTGTATCTTGATGAGTTACAGATCAAGTTTGCATTTCGTTCCGCTTCGTTGATTTTTGACGGAATTACGGCCTTTCAATTTTTACGGGTTTTCCGCAATTTTCTTCTAAACGCTTGTAGATATTGAGCTGATTTTTGGTATGTGGCTTTACCTTGATTAGTTAAAGATCAAGTTTGCATTTCGTCCCGCTTCATTAATTTTTGACGGAATTATGCCATTTTCAATTCTTAACGGGAACGGAACCAGATTACACTTGCCGGTAGGGGACTAGTATTGCTAATGCAATACTCTCAGAATGCTTGTTGGTTTAAGGGATCACTGAACTGGTACAAATAGCAGGGATGTTGAAATTTAGAAAACAAAGTTAACATCAATACAAAATTTGACAAAAAAAAAAAAAAAAAAAAAAAATAGAAATGAGGAATCGACTAAATTGTTCTAATGCTTAGGACATTTGTCTTATAATTACTGTGCATGCAAACTAAGCCATGTAGGCGACAAGTTTTAGAAACAAAGCGCTTTGCTGTACAATGTACGTTGAATTGCCGAGATAGGATCGTAATTTTCCCCCAAAGCTAATACCAATGATTCAATAAAGCAAGATACAGAGCAATTTCTCTCAATCCTGATTGATTATTCATTAATTTTGTCGTGATGATGTCCCTATTCGACCTCTCCAAATTCATTGGTATTGCAATGTTTTTAATGAACGAATAAGTTATACAAAACAGGGGCCTCAGCAAGTGATCACTGTGACTTGAATGAGATATAGTTCTCCTAAACAGAGTAATTAAAGATATTTCACCGTACATAACAAAGGGGTCCTCTGGGATGCTGGTTTTTCTGTGTGTAGAAGTGAAAGTCGAGAGTTAGCCAGCAAATAAAGAATAGTAACGGCTAATGCGGTAGAAACAGGATTTCTAATAAACGTTCGTTTCTATGCATACTCTCCGCTCTTATTGCTATTCAATTTATAATAGATTTTATTCGTTTGGAGAGATGTTGTTTTGAAAACAACTCTACTTGATACTTTGGCATTCCAAATCCTTACGTATATCGTCATCATCATGTTAAAAAACATTGTAAGATAAGGGAACAATGCAATAGATACATGTACTACATGTATATACACCAGTGTAACAAAACGAAAATAATGACGACTGCAAAAAGTGCTTATTGCCTTAATCTTATTGAAAATGGTAGAAGGAAGTAGAGTCGAACAGACAACTTGTTATTTTTGACAGAGCTTTAAGAATCAATTGGAACTGGTTTGACATTAACTCATTAGGGATTGCATGTCATCCCTGCTCAATCATATCTTCCAGAAATGTTCATATTTTATCATGTCTCTGTATCAGAAACCAGGGCATCTATAGGAAAACCAAGAGAAACACATGCCTATACTCTTAGCCTTCTGAATACTCAGTGTTCAGAACTTTATTTGGGTATTTGATAAAACTTAATAATGTCTCTTCCCTGTTTCACGAACTTATTGGAAAAAACAAGAGAAAGCTAAACATGTCTGACCTTCTAACCTTTCCTGTAAAATATAGAATTTGATATGCTTAGTATCCTTTATGCATCCCCTTAGTATAATTTATGTTGAGTTTTGATATAATTGGTATTGTGTTGTACATATTTTTTATGTAGAATTTGATATATTCAGTATTATTGTATACATGTTCCTGATATTTTATACATTCGACTCACAATTTAAAGATCTATACATGTACATCCTAAGTAGTGATACTGAATACGAATAATAGATCAACATTGCACGCTGTGTAAATCATATCCACACCAATTGCTAATTTATGCTCTTCTTGGGTACATGCATAAAGTAGAAACTGAATACATTCAGGATTCATGAGCCATTTATTCTGGTTTGAATTTTTATATGTCTTCTGGTAAAGGTTATCAGATTAAGTTTTCTGTTGCAATTTCTACACCGGTTTGTGCTTGTCGCTTTTGACAAACACCTCGGGACAATTTGCTAGACCTTCCATTATAGATTATCCAAACCACTCAAAGCACTCAAAGTGGACATTTATATCTACATAAATTATTTCTAAAATTTTGCGAAAGATTCGATCCTTGTTTATCTTTTTACAAATGTAATTGTGGATCAGTATTGAAAATCTGTCATTTTCTTTCAGATATTGTGGTTATTAGTAAGGTATTTAATATGAAGTTTTCTCTGTCAATAATTTTATCTGAATTTGCACAAAATTCCATAGAAAAACAATTTAAATGACTAGATGAAATAGGTCGTGTAAGAATTCGGAAATATCTTGTAGCTTGTACGTTTTAAACCCCACAATCACTGCAATTCATATCAACTGACAATGTAAATTCATTTCATCAATAGAAAAAGAAATAATACAGATCAAACACGACATTAAAATTCAGAAGATACGTTTCATTTAACAAATCGGCTTTCAAATTTGTTACATTCTGCAAGGGTTCGAATAGAATGTCATAGTTGCGCGATATGCAATAGAAATCATCGTACTATAGTTAATCAGCCTCTAAAAATGGTTATCCTTCAAGCATTGATATTGTAACCAAAATCGCAATTATTTAAAGAAAAAAAGGCAATCAAGCTAGAATCCTTTGTACAATTGTTAATTAAATTGCATACAAATAAATCGTGAAATAAAAGTTCTAGAGAACACGATATAGCTATCTTCTATATCAATTTACTATCCCCGGAATGTGTCAAGTTGTGCCTTCAGGTGTTTTTTTACTTCTCTCTCCAATTTCTTATTTGTCAAAATCAAAAACTGATCTCATGCATAATTAAACACTCGAACCTTCGAAGTTGTGAAAGAGGAGTCTACACAGAAAGTTTACTTTATATATTATGCAATCGGCAGGGTGTTTAAACTATAATTTTCCTATGAACCACAGAAGAACCGTGGGAATACAATTGTAGACCGGTTTATGCATTTAAAAAAGAATCGAGAATAATAACTTGTGTCCCAGAAAACTGCAAATTTAGGGTAATTATATCTGCGGTTTAATGCTAAACAAATTCTTTTACTTTGAAATCTAGATAACGCTACTGTTTTAATTGTATCTAAACGTCTCATTTTCTTTATATAACAACGAAAATTAGTATATATTAAAACTATTTGAACAATAATACTTACATGTTATAATTTATCCGTTCACGTCCATGAATAAAACAGCCAGTTCATTATGGAGATGTCCAAATCAGACTTTTTATTTTGTCCCTGGTCAGCTGGGTGCTAAAGTATGCCACGGATAATTCCTTGTTAAGTCATCTTGCCCAATAAGTTTCTCTGATCGTTCTATCGAAAGACTTGTAAAAGTAGAAAAGGATCACGCTGTGTTGCCTTCTATAGTAGATTATTCGATCTATGTCAATGTCAGATTAACAGAGTCGAGTGACAACAACGATGGATGGGAATATAAAAACAAAAAACAAAAACAAAAGTGGGGTACAGGACATTATATCTCAAGTAGCATAACAGCGTTCGAGTAAGACTTCACGAATAAAAAGGGATAATTTGAATAATGAAGAACCATAACTAAGTTTCTTGAAATGATTACATTTAACAAGTGATATTCAAAGTACACAAGTTCCTTTGCTTACCGATGTGTATCGTTATAGTTAATTATCTCCGAGGATGGATAGCACTTTATTAAAATTTTAAAAAACTCCAAACGATTGACTGCAAATAACACAGGCTTTTTTGATAAAGGAAGAACATTTCGCACAGTAAACACTCGAAAACTTGTAAACAAACAATCAACAGCGAAATAAGCAAAACATTGATGGGGGTTTTATTGAAAGAGAAAACTAAATAAAGTCCATTGCAATGACAAGCGCCAGCAGACGACTTCTGAACGATAGATTTACAGCCAATCAGGGGCCAGGATTGCCACAATGAAAACGGGAAAGAAAAGGTAAGGTGGAAAAAATATTACTGAACCATGAAAATTTGGACAGGGATAATTGAATCTGAAGAAGACAGGTACAATAAATATATATACGTCCTTACAAGGAGTAGTTTGTTGTCTATTAAATGGATGCTCGAATCAGACGAGAAAGCTGGGTGGTTTGTCCTTAAGAAAAGTTAAAAGCCTGTTTTTTTTTTCTTATTTGTAAAAAGTTCGTAAAATACACGTTAAGATCTGATAAGACTTTAAATTCTCAGTTATATTCAGCTCTACATTTTGGTACAGGTAATTATATATACCTAAGTGTTAAAAACTAAAATTACTTGCTATTTTCTCACCTTATAGTAAGCCCGGATTTAGTTTGCTGAATAAAATAATAATTCACTGGAAAAATGAAAAAATATTAATTTATGTTCAGCTGAAAATTGAATTTCAAAATTTCAAGGTGCAGTACATTTTTCGTGAAATTTCTTTCTGTAATTACTTTAACACAGGTACCTGTATTAAAGCAAATGGAGTCAATCATTGAATAAATATGTCGGTCTCTTTGACAATCAACTACGGTAAATATGACAAAGAGTTGATCAAATATTGACAACCCTTAACCATAAATCTTTAGTTTTATTGAATTTAATCAAAATCAAAATATTTTGGTCATGCTTCATATGACTACGTTATATTTTTTATAATCAGGTTGATATTAAATCTACCAATAATCAACGTTAAACATCCTTACAAAAAAAAAAAATTATGTGATGTGCATGTATTTGAATGGGCTCAAAGTGCAGCGTATGACTGCAAGTCTGCAAAATCGACTGAAGTTTGGTACGTATAACAAGTACACCCCTTACATTAATTCACGCCTAGCAAATGCAAGGAAAGCACTGCTGATTTGGAGAGACATTGAGTAACCTAAACCACCTTATTCACAATGTCATTAGACATAAAAAATAAAATATGACCAGGGGAAAATCTTACACGATATTATCCTTGTTTAAAATTCTCATGCCCCTTTCACAACTTCATGTAAAATTAGTACCAGTGACTTTGCTAAATATGGCTGATGGATCTATATCCTGGTCATAAGGGTACATCTCACAATCATCAAAACATGCCATGGCATCCACTTAATGACGGCTTGTCAGGTTACTAGATTTGTGACCTCTGAGAAATTGATCTAGAGAAAGATGCTGGATTGTCCATCCAGTGAACGGGAGGAAACCTTCGTGTATGTGGGAATGCCTAGAATATATCTAATTATACGTAATTACATGTCTTTCTAACCCTTCCCTTGAACATCAATCATTGTCCAAGTTGGGTGGACGGGTACACGTAGCTGAACCGGCCTTGGGGAGGATTTCCCAAAACACGGGAGATGTGTCTTCTCCATTTCAGTGTATAAAGGACTCCTGAAATTAGACCTTTATATGGTTAATAACTCCGGGCCATTTACTTTGTTGTTAAAGAAAACTTTTAATGAAAGGTGAAATTTGAAATTGTATTTAAGTTAATGGATTTTTACTCTAAAATATTTTGATTGGCAGCAGTACATTCCAGGATTGTCCCTTCATCGACTAATGCGAAGTATATTTACAGGTGACATTTTTTTTTTTTAAAAAAAATTCTCCTCAGCAGCAAACGTGTTTTGATACTGGGGGTGGGGTGGGTGGGGGTTCGGGGTGGTCTCTTCTTGTGGAGGGTAGTGCCCCATTTAAGAAAGCATGATAAAGTTAACTAAGAATTAATAATAATCAAGTGAGATATTAGTTTGAAGATTTGAAAAGAAAAGATTCTTTACTGTTTAGTAACAGAGGGACAAACTGTAGTTTCCGAACTCACAGAAACCATATTTTTCGAATATGATGTAGAACATGGCCCACTGTGATGCGAAGTGTTTATGAGCATGTAGAATGACATTACATGTATATAAAAATGTTACTACCTGTGACGCCTCTGTAAGCGTTATAACACAGATTTAAGACAACAAATGCTACAAATTCCTTCAAACATTCTGTTAAGTCATGACGAAAGATCAACGCTCGCTGAGGATTAACCCCTCTGTGGGTTAATGACGTGCAACTCTATCGTAAAGAATACCGAAAAAGGAATTATTTTTTTAAAAAAAGCACACACCCTAAAAATGAAAAAAAAATGAAGAAATTTAAAGTCATGTAAACAGATCAGCTACACTTGATAAAAGCTCCTGTGTATTTTTCTTGTTAGTTGAAATGGGATACGAAAACACACAGGTTCAGGGTCTATAACAATACATGTACCAGATCATAATAGGAGGTCAAAAGTTGGGCTAATATAATAAAGTTGTAAACAAGAATAAACATCTGTGATTTCATATTTAAAAAAATAAAATAAAATAAAAAAAACATGCAGTTAAAAAAAATTATGAAATAAAATATGTTTGCCTTTTCTGGGATACTGTGAAAATGAGTTAATTGATTTTTTTAAGCATGAATCTGGGTCTTTTGAAGATCCAAGCCACCTAGATTTTTTTTTAGGCGTAGTCTTACTTTCAAGTAATTAGGATTTTTTGAAATATCTATTTTGATTTAATTAATTATTACACTACCTCTTAGAATCAATACAAACGAACAATTTCTTTTTCTGATGCTGAGAGTACTCTTCGGAATATATAAAGATAGTATCAACCGAAAATATGTACATAATGAGAACACTGTTAGTTCTGCTATCGCAGAATTTCCACCCATACAGTGCTCCCTATTAGTGCACAATCCTTCAAAACACCCGAGTGCGTATCCCGTCCAAACAGTTGTGATAAATCACGAGTTGTAAATATTTGATCATTTTTTGCCACAAAGACAGGGGCAAAACACAAACAAGAGCCTAAACATCTTTAAAGGATCAATTTCTGTCTAACTCTGAAATCTGGAAAGCTTTTTTGATCAATGCTTTTCAGCCATTGATGTCATTAACAGATCCCAAACGTGCACAGGAATTGAAAGCTTATAGAGTCGATCGCCACTCAGGGGCCACATCAAGAAATCAACGTCAGTTCTTGTAACAATCGTACTTCAGTATAAAGTACATATGTGTTACCGTGGTGTCCATATTACTGACAATTGATATTCAATTCTCTGTGACAAGTTCACACTGTCTGGGTTGTCTCCCTTTAATTGCATTTTCATCCTCCGACATATTATGTATTATGAATTAATAATAAAGTAGCAATATTTCATAACTCTTTTTATGAAATAGTTATTTCAACACATATACATGTACTTTCTCACTTCTTACTATAGCGATGATGGGATGCAGGTAAACTTAATCAGAACACTAACTTTAAATTTTTCATAAGTTTTATTTTATCTGCCTTATTGATAATGGGCTTTGGTCTCTATTGACAATTGCGTTGCCTTGCAGGATGTTATTAAATAAGTTCATTTACATGTATGTTTGCATTTGTGCGCATGATTTTTTGTAGTATTTACCGTTAATTACTCTGCTTATTAACTTTTACTGATTCTGGGAGCATGTCTATATAAAGTGTTTACATATACCTGGTATTGTAAATAAAAGAGAAGAAATTTCTTTATTAACGTTTCCATACTGTGTTAATTAATTAATATGCTAATGACCTGCAGTTCTAAATAGGGAGAAATCATTGTGTTTAATTTCCGAGCTAACAGTTTACCCATCTTGATTACAAATATTGATACGAATCTTTCGAATATATTATATTTCATTCTGTCAGATAAGTTTACCGTCAGAGGTGATGGTATTTCGTTTTTATCGATTCCGGTCATCTTTAAAACCCACTCAATTGTGTCGCCATTTAACCCTTTGTCACCTTGTCATGTTACGTTCATGTCAAAGAGCAATTTCGTTGTTTGGTTATTGTAATCAACACGTAGAACAAACAAAATACAGAATTTCTTATGCAAAACCAAATGATGACAATACAAGAGCGTTTGGTTCCGATTTCAAACAACATTGATCGTACGTATGTCACGAAATCAAATTTACATCCTTCTCCCATGAGTGTATCCCACGACTGTAATCTTCCATAAATTCTGCACAAAACGCAACCAAAACAACAAATACTTAAGTTTATACATGTACCTCATTACCTGGGTTATATATAAAAACGACGGTTGGAATCATCTATCTTACACAACTGAATCGTGTTCACTTAAGGTCAGATGACACTTTCCTCCAATATATGTTTTATATTTCTAGGTACATGTATTATTTAAAAAAACTATTCATAATTTTTAATTTCTAATGATTTCTAAATTGTTTTTGATATGTTTGAAAACATAACTACGCCAAAAATGTGACATAAGCAATTCGAAAGATTACCCATAAGGATTATATAAGAAATATCATACTCCTACATCTTGCACAAATGCCTGGTAAGGTACCTCAATTTTGTATATGGAAACTTCTTTAAGTAAAAATACTTCAATGACGAATTCTTGGGAAAAATTACATGTATATATTTTTAAGGAACGTATCGTCTGACCTTAAGCAAGAAAATGGAATTGTCATTTTTATGCGAATACATGCACTTCCTGTTCTATTAAAGAAAACAAAAACGACAGAAAGACTATATCGTGAATAAGAATGCAGAGAGAGATCGAGAGAGAGAGAGAGAGAGAGATCGAGAGAGATCTATACTATGGACTTGACATTTTGTGTTTTAATACCGGTAAATCGGGATCTCGAGAACTGTATTTTGCTTTGAATATTATAAACACTGTAACTAATAACTGAAGTGTCAAATCAAAACTTTATTTTTCCTATAGGGTTAATTAATTATTGTTATAATAAAGAACAATGATAAGAAGTAAATAGACATTTCCATTTCATGATAAGTTATCCGTGTATTCAGTATGGAAAAACACAAAATACAGATA